CTAGAGTATTGGTCTTATGTTTTAGTGGTTTGCGTCATTGTTGGGTTTTAGGAAAAACTATTTCACGAGGAGGGTGGTGAAACACTGGAATGCGTTACCTAGGGAGGTGGTGGAGTCTCCTTCCTTGGAGGTTTTTAAGGCCCGGCTTGACAAAGCCCTGGCTGGGATGATTTAGTTGGGAATTGGTCCTGCTTTGAGCAGGGGGTTGGACTAGATGACCTCTTGAGGTCCCTTCCAACCCTGATATTCTATGATTCTATGATTCTATGAAAATTTGGATCTGGATTTGAAATCCACAGCTCGGATCTATTTCGTTAATGGGACAGAACCAGAACTCAAGAAGTGGACGGCTCCAAAGTTTGAGGTGGTGTTTGGATCCTGACCTGAACTTTGCATCTTTCCCTCATGTCTATTTATAACAACATGTGGATTTTTCTAGGATTGTATTAAACAATGCATGTGTTTTTATGACAACAGGGTGTGTAAGAGGGATAGCTCAGTAGTTTGAGCATTGGCCTCCTAACCCCAGGGTTGTGAGTTCAATTGTTGTGGGGGCCATTTAGGGAACAGGGGTAAAAGTCTGTCTGGGGATGGGTCCTGCTTTGAGCAGTGCGTTGGACTAGATGACCTCCTGAGGTCCCTTCCAACCCTGATATTCTATGAAGAGAGATGGGTTTTTACTTGCAATAAAATGCACTGCATTTTAGAAGCAGCTTGTGCATTGGAAATACCATGTTTTTCTTGAGTAGCCGCACCCTTTGATCTGATATAAATGAGAGGGCCAGATCTTCAGCTGGTCATGCAGCAAAGGATATTACTTGTTTTCTGCATGCTTTCTGAAATGAAGCAAAGGGCCTGATTTTCCACTGCTTTTCATCTTGAGTACAAAATGAATGTCTACAAAAGTTGCAAGGTAATGGAGAAGCAGGCCTGATCTTGAATTACTGACTGACTCCACTACATGATTTGACAATTGTTTGCTATTAATCAAGTGTATTCAGGTAAATAAAATATTTATATACTGACTATAATGAGAATTTGCCATTACATTAAATTAAAGGCGATAGGTACTTCAGAAATACCTTAATTAGATTAGATGATCTGCACATTTTAAATTGTATTTTCTTTTAGATTCCAAAGAGTTTGATGCATTTGTGTCCTATTCAAAACAAGACTCCTTTGAAAGTGATTCCACTTTTCTTAATGAGGAACAGTTTGCCCTGGAGGTCCTTCCAGAGATGTTGGAAAACAAATATGGATACAAACTGTGCCTTCTTGAAAGGGACATTCTTCCAGGAGGAGGTAAGGTCCCACCTGATATGTGGAAAACATCAATAGACAACCCTTCGCTCCAATAGATTTTATTTTTCAAAAGCCTTATTCATCAAAAATGTCAACCATGTGATTTGGTCATGGAGCTTCTGCTCATCTCACTAAGTCACAACCCCTACAGTCTAAGGTTATGTCTACACTACTGCCTATGTTGGCAAGAATATTCCACCCCCCAAGTGACAAAAGTTACACTGACATAAGTGCTAGTGTGCACAGTGCTAAATCGGCAGGAGAGTTTCTCCCACTGTCATACAGTGGTGGATTAGTCACTGGGCCAATGGGGCCCATGCCCAGGGGTCCTGGCCAATTTGGGTGTCCCTGCCCGCCCAGAGCTCCTGCCGAGGAACAGGGGAAGCCCCCACGCCCCGACCTCGCTCCTGGTAAGAGTGCCGGGCAGGGAGGTGGGGGGGACTGCAGGCAGAAGGAGTGGAGAGGGGCCCCCATTTGCTCTGGCCCAGGGCCCCACAACCCCGAATCTCCCTCTGCCGTCATAGTTTATGCTGCTCACACTTTTGGGGGTGGGGGTTATGCTGATGGGAGATCTCTCTGTACATGTAGACATGGCCTAAGATATCCCATTCACACAGAACTTCAGTGTCATCACTGAGGACATATTAGGTTGGGGCAAAGTTCTTTTTCAGCATTCTTAAAGGACTAATACACTTTTTGTATAAGCATTTTTGTAGCTTGTCATAAATTTTCCAATGGAACAGTTTCCCGCTGGAAAATGCTGATTAGATTAAATCAAAACGTTTGATTGATTTTGTCAAAATTTTCAATGGGAAATTATTTCAATGTTTCATTTTAGTAAGGTTGAAACAGTGCATTTTGACTTTCTCTTTACCTTTTCTATTATATTATAATTTGTAAAAGTCAAAATGTGTAGACTTTTATTTTACATAATATAAAAATCACAATATAAAGACAAAATAAAATATTTTGGAATATTTGATTGCACAAAAAAATTCAAGATTTTGATATTTCATCCTCATTTGGGATTAAACGAAATTTTGAAATCTCGGAATTTGCTGTGGAACAGAAATTCTGTTTTTCAACCAGCTTTTATTAAAACCTCTATCTATTTCTATACCAGAATGTCAGAGGAATGCCCCCTCCACATTCATATTGCAATTTACTTATATTACTCATTTATCCACATTAAACATTTTCTTAGCATGTATTAAGTATGTTTTGCTATCTGTCGGATGCCCCTTTTTTCAATAAAAAATAAAATTAGTGCAGAAATACTGGGTCAAACTTATTGGCACCGACATTGGCAGGCACAACTCATTGATGAATTAGGCCCACTGTAAGTAGCTTTAAAAAAAATCCTACCTAAATTCTACTTATAGTTAAACTAAACGGGAAAAATCATTTGCCTAGACAGTGTTTCAAATCTTCAGATGACTTGTTCTGGCATTTTTCAAGGGTAGGTTTTCTTTATATAGAACCAATGCACAGTAATTCACAGGTCCCATTTTTCCGCTCCCAACAAATTCATAACTTCAAACCTCGGTGACGCATAGGGAGGGGATGTGGGATCAAGTGCCCTCCCAGATTTTGGCAAGTCCCAAGCTGCCCTTACAGGGCTTGCTCTGTTCAGCCTGATGCTCGGGGATGATGGCTCTGCCCTCCTCCTGCTGTGCCTCCCCGCCTGGCACTTCCAGCTCGCTTGGCTCCTCCCTCCCTGCAGCTGGGCCTTGGCGGGGAGCTGAGGACGGGGGACAGAGCCGCTTCTCATGCTGGCAAGTATCAGAGGAGTAGCCGTGTTAGTCTGTATCCTCAAAAACAACACGGAGTCCAGTGGCACCTTAAAGACTAACAGATTTATTTGGGCATAATAAGAAGTGGTAAGAACCCCACTTCTTCAGATGCATGGAGTGAAAATTACAGACATAGGCATAAATATATATTAGTACATGAAGGGCTGGCTGACTCCGCTCAGGGTCGATGTCTGCGAGAGAGCCTGGCTGCAGAGGTGACAGAGGCTGGCTCCCAGCCAGAGCCCAGCTGCCGGGGACAGGGGCGGAGCGAGCCGGATGAGTGGGGGGACTCCGGCTCACTTGGCCCCTGTCCCCGGCACCTGGGCCCGGATGGGGAGCGGAGGGGCCACCTCCTCAGCTAGGGTCTCTCGCAGATAAGCGCTGAGCTGCACAAAGGGAGTGACCCTGAGCAGAGTCAGCCAGCATGAGAAATGGCTCCACCCTGCTCAGGCAGGCCTGGCTGCCGGCAGGAGGGGCCGAGTGAGCTGGAAGTGCCAGATGGGAGGCGAAGCAGGAGAAGGATGGAGCTCGGGTGGGGCAGGGAGAGCGCGGTGGCCTCGGCTGGGCACAGAGCGGGGGGTTGCTGCGGAAGGCGCTGGGAGCAGGCTCCCACTGCCCAACCTGAGTTAGGGGTGTTGCCTGTGCCCCTCCCCTTGCTGAGGTGTCCACAAGGTCATGGGAGCTCTGGGGAGACACTGGTGCTGTGAGTCAGCCCGGGGCTGGTGGACCCGGTTCAGGGGCATATGCTCCCCACTCCTGTGGCCCCAGCCTCCCAGGACCAGGCAGGATTGGCTGCCCAGGCTCAGAGGGATGGGGCTGGAAGGTTCCTCCAGGGGCCACCCATGAGGTGGTCACGTGGCCCCCCCTTTAAACTGTGTCCCCCCCCAGTATCATCAGGCATAAGCCATCTATGCTTCAAGAGCTGGCTAGAAGTTTCTAGAACCTTCCAGAATCCCCCAAGTGAAGCAGGGGACTAAGGGTATGTCTACACTGCCCATGTTACAGCACGGCTGCAGCAGCACTGTGACGTGGACAGTGTAGACATGCTTTATCGCCAGGGGAGAGCTCTCTCAGTGATTAAAAAAAACCCACCCCAAATGAGCGGTGGTAGCTTTATCTCTGGGAGCATGCCTCCCGACGCTAAAGCGCTGTCTATACTGGCGCTTTTCAGCGCTAAAACTTTTGTCACTCAGGGGGGTGTTTTTTCACACCCCTGAACGGCTAAAGTTTTAGCACTGAAAGTAGCAGTGTAGACACAGCCTAAGACAACTTTACACATTCTGTCATGTTCTTTTAAACATCACCATAACTTTCTCTTATGTTAATTAAGATATCTCCCAATATCAAAGGGAAGTGGAGAAAATATTCATCTGCGGAGATCTCCCATGCAGTAGAATAAAATACCTCTAATAAGTAGAATAATAGAATCACATAATCCTAGACATAGGACATCAGGAAGTCATCTAGTTCATCCCCCTGTGCTGAGGTGGAATTAAGTATAAGTAGTAGAATGGGACCATTTATAGGATTAATTTGGATTAATAAATAACTAGGTTAACTGTAATGAAAACATACCCTTTTAAATCAACTTTTTGGGGAAAACAGCCATTCTAAGTATCTCCTAGATGTGTGCTACTACTTCACTTCTAATTGTGCACTCATTAGCTCTGACAAGTTAAACAGGCTTGTGTTTAGTCAGCACGTGAATGGGAGACCTCCCAGGGAAATCACCAAGGTGCTGAAGTAAGTGGTGTTGTTGAATCAGTAAATCAGTAAAAGAGTAAAACACTTCCTTTTGGGGCAGAACTGAACTAATGCCCCAGCATAGTGTTAGCGGATGCTGGTTGAAAACTGGGTTTTCTGTCGTGTGGGAAGCAGGATGAAATATCAATTTTTTTTGCAGAAGGGAAAATTCAGAAATTTTTATTTGGAAATTTCAAAACATTTTGGCATGTTAACATTTCTAAATCAAAATATTTTTCTTGGTTTGTTGAACTGAATTGAAACATTTCCTATTGGCTTGGTTAGACATTAGTAAGTGTCCCCCAGATCTCAGTGGAGTTCTAGTTCAAGTACCAAATGCATCTTTTCTCCTCTAAGGGCCAGACTCTTTGGATGGACTGGCATGATACACCATGGTCACATAATTCCCATGATACACCACATTGGTTCAACCAAATGGGAGACCATCTTTCATCATGGGAGATGTAGTCTGCCACAAAGCTGAGGCCAGGGGGAGAAGAGGAGCACGAGTCACCTGAACTTCACCTTCTATGAGTCACTGTGGCAGTTCAGGTGGACACAGTTTAATTTTGAACTGATCCAAAAGAAAACATTTTGATTTGGTTCAACAAACCAAAACTGTTTTAATTTGGTTTGACACAAAATATTTTGTTTCGATATTGCTGATGGAAAATTGAAACATTTCAGCAAAATTGAATTTTTCCCTGTATAAAACTACATTTTCTGTCAAAAAAAATTGCATCACTCCTTGTAGTCACTGAAGAGCCCATGGCACCTGTGGCAATTTGGGGAACCTGTCTATGTACAACTTATGAATTCTGTCTGGAGTCAGGAGCTCTTTTTGTGTATCTGTCAGACTGCAGATTTAATTTTGAATGAGGGGTTTCTTTGCCTTCTCGGTTGTTCTTTTACCTCCATGTTGGACCTCCAAGGTTTAGCAGCACAGGGCTAAGAACAAAGGGTCATTAACTTACGTGCTCTCTCATTGACATGGCACCACCTTAGACAATAGGCTGACTCCTGCCCAAGAGAACCAGTCTGTGCAGGTGGGTTGATAATGATGTAATAGGTCACCTGGTAGGGGAATTTGATCACCTGATGAGGCTGATCAAGAAATCACCTGATAAAGGCTGGAGATTATAAAAGAGAGGGTCTCCCAGCAGCTATTTTAGAGGGAGATGGGGAGAAGTGAGACTAGGCCTCCATGTTCTGGATGAGAAGCCATGTGAAGGAGGCTGGTTGGGGGGTGGGGGGAGAGGTGAAACATCCTGGACTCCTTAGAGGGCTCTGATGTATGCTCAAAGAACTCTCCAGAGTAGTGTAGAAACTGAGGCAGGAAAACTATGTTTACGTATGTTTATTATTTTGTGTAGATCCATTTATCTTTCATGCTACATAAGGAGAAAACTGTTTAGAATGCTGTGCTAAGACCGTGTTTGTGTGTGTGTGTGTGTGCGTGTCCATTGTCTTCCATGCGTACCCTTGAAGAGGAAAAGCGTAAACCAGAAGGCTCACACCTTCAGTGGGATCCTGGGGAAAGTTCAAGAACAGCTGGGGAGGCACTAGTTTCAGGGCCTAGGCCATTGGACTGTGAGGTCCCCACTGCCATGAGGGGGTGCGTTCCTTAGAGGCCCAAAGCCAGGGACAGTACCTACATTCTGTCCAGCCTTAGCAAGCTAAGAGTATGTGGGATTCAACATTGGGATCCTGGTACAGCAGTCTGGAGAGCATCCAGAAGGGGCATTCAGCCAGATCTTTGACTGCACTTATTAGAAGAATGAAGATGTTAGCCCAGGTGTCATTGCCAAATTAATTGGGTAATGGCTTTCTAAATGCTCCTGTGGTTTCAGTTGTATTCTCTTCTTCTCATGATGTAAGGGACATTGCTATGTGCTGTTGTGTGCAGTTGTTGCATTTTACTCCAATGGTGGCTGCATTTACATGGTTGTTAACATGATTATATATTCAATTTTTTAAAATGTTTTCGGTGCCTGTGGCTGAAAAGCCCAAAGTGTAAGCTAGTACTAATCATTACTTCTTTTTCAGCTTACACTGATGATATCGTAACAGCTATTCAACAAAGCAGGCGAGCTATAATTATCTTGAGTCCTGGCTATGTCAATGGACCCAGCATCTTTGAACTGCAGGCAGCAGTGAACTGTGCTTTAGAAGATAACATGATAAAATTGATTTTAATTAAGTACAAGTCGTTCCAAGAGCCAGAATCTTTACCTCCAATAGTGAAGAAAGCTCTTAAAATTTTACCAGTGGTTACCTGGAAATCTTCTAACTCTAACTCACCAAACAAACAATTCTGGAAATATATGCGGTATCACATGCCAGTGAAAAATACCAGGGGGCTAGGGAAAAACAGTCTAAAGTTTTTTTCCCATAGGTTATTTAGCATGGTTATCAATAGCAGAAAGGTCGCTTGGAGAAGATAGCAGACTAAGAAATAGTGAGGTGATTGTAAAGGAACTTCCTGTATCTGCTACCACCTGACCACAAATTTAAGAGCTCATCATCTTTTGTCTCATTGATAGCTCACTCTAACATAAAGTGAAAAAAACTTCCTATAATGTGACAACCCTAAAGTCTTCAGTAGAAGCAAGCGGGACTGGATGCAGCTGTGATATGATATGTTTTTCTTTTATTATTATATTTAATATTTATTATTTTCAGCAAAATTGTAGCCAGAAACCTCAGTGAGAATGTGGGCCCCATTGTAGTAGATAGTGTATAAACCTAAGACAATAGAGAGCTTACAGTGCAACTATATAATTAATAATAATAGTAATAATATCATAATTCTATTTCTAACTAATATGCACTGTGTACACAGGCTTTCCTGTGTGAAAAGAATTAAAAGCATAAAGAAATACGGATGGGATTTTCATTCTATTTGCCTAGTTCTGCTGTCATTAAGTCACTGGTAAAACTCCCATGGATTTCAGTGGGAACAGAGATAAGCCAAGTTTGAGCATTTTTGAAACTCTAACCCCGGACTTTTTTGTTTGTGTTCTTTTGCCCTGCTGTTGATAATAACAGTACCCCAGTTTGAATGCCTTCCTCATTGCATTGTGTTTTCATTTGATGTTTGCTTTTCTATTTTTCTTGAAAAATTAAAATTGCAAAATTCCTTTGGATTCTTTTTTAATGTAACTTTTCCTATGCAGTCCAGAGGGAGCAGCCCTAAAATTCTTAGCCCAGATTGTTCTTTTCTGTGGGAAAAATCCATGAGAGAGGGCCTGTAGAGAGGAAAACTCTGCAAGGATCCCCTCACATGGCTATGCTGGGACAGGGCCGGCTCCAGGGTTTTGGCTGCCCAAGCAGACCAAAAAAAAAAAAAAAAAAGACCGACGA